CCGCCTCTTGGGTTCCCCGCCCTCCCACCAGCCGGCTCCCCGAGCCTTCGCCCCGCTGACCACCCTGCCTTGCACCCCGGTTTGCGGCAGTCGGTGAGGTGTACTGGCAGTGGTGGTGGCCGCCGCACAGGCTGGAGAAGGAGGCGGCGGGAGAAGGAGGCAGACTCCGGTCTTCTGCCTCCCGCCCGGCTGGAGGTCGGGACTAGGGGAGTCCAAGGGATCTGGCGGGGGGGGGGTACTGGGAGACTCAGGTGAATTTATGAGAGCAAGGCCATTGGGGAGTGGGGGACAGGGCGAGCTCGACCGAGCTAAGCCGCTGCGGAAAACAGATGAACCTGGAAACTGCGTTTGGGCAGTTCCCGCCTTGCAACCGGTCAGGTCACCGCGGCCCCGCGTTAAGCTGAGCCGGGGCGTTGGGCTGGACGCCCAGCACCTTTGGCATTGACACGCCTGGTGCCTACTGAGACAGGAGAGCTCTGCGGAAGGAGCCCTTATTCATTTATTCGTTCGTTCATTTTACAAACTGAATAACTGCTCAGTTTGGCCCAGACAAGGGGCAGCGCCTCAAAATAAAGGGAAGATGTCCTGCGGTGCAGGACTAGCTGGCACCCAAAAGCTGCCAGGGGGAAGCCGGCGCGCAATGTGCTGCAACGCTGGGAATGCAGCTGGGAATCCAGTCGGCTGGGCGTGGAGGAGGCCACAGCGCCCCCTCTCGGCCGAATCCTCAGGGTCAGGGTCAGCAGTCCCGCCAGATCTTGGGGTCTTCATCTGATTTGGCTCACCCCAGCTCTGAGAAGCAGGTCTTGCCTTCTCCATTCCTTCTAGGTGGATAGAACTTATTGACTTTCTTCTCCCTCTTTCTTCCTGAGCCAGATCTGAAAACGGACAAGAAGAGGCCCTGGGAAATCTTCACTCTACCCCGCAAAGCGTAGGTCCCAGCTACAATGGCAGCCGCCCCCAGAAAATGTAGAGGCACCTTGGGCGAAGCCTGGTCCCAGAGTGGCGGCCAGCTGGTTTTGAAATCAAACAGCCTGGCTGCCCTGGATTCCTCATCTTACCAGGCCCCCGCCTCCTCCCTTCCACCCCCATCTTGGCACTTTGAGCAAGAGCCAGTGCATTCATGGGTCCAAATGATCCTTATTTGGAGCTGGAGATTTTGCAGGCAGTCGTGTTATCCAACACACATTTTACTGGTGAGGAAACTGAGACACACAGAGGTGTGACCTGTCCAAAGCCCCATAGATGATAAGCCTAGTCCTCCCCTTCCTGATTCCCACCTCAAAGTGCTTGGAGGTCTGGGCCCTAAAAGAGTTTTGAAGTGAGAGGGCATTGAAGTGAGAGGTCATTGACCAGGAAGCCAACTGGTCACATTGGCTTAGCCAAATTGATGTCATAATTTAGATGGAGCACATAGTTCTGAGCCTTGCAAAAACCAATTTGCTTAGGGCCTCAGAGCTGGTCAATCAACCCAGAAGAGACTGACAGACCAACTAAATGGCCAATTTACTATTCTCAATGAAAATTAAGTTCAGGGCAGACAGACACAGTGGCCCGTGTGTGTAATCCCAGGACTCTGGAGTTGGAGGCAGGGGTATTTCAAGTTCAAGGCCAGCCTGGATAACTTAGTGGGACCATTCTCAGAATAAAAAAATATAAAGGGCTGGGTGTGTGACTTAGTAGTAGATCACCCCTGGGTTCAATTCCAAGAAGCAGAAAAGAAAGAAAGAAGGAAAGGCAGAATGCAGGGTAGTTTGGCATCTGGTTCTGGAGTCAGGCAGCATGGGCTTGAGTCTTGATTCTTACACTTACAAGCTTAACCCTGAAAAATTATTTAAATTATTTAGCAGTGCCTCAATGTTCCTATCTATAAAGTGAGCCCAAGAACATCTACCTGCTAGGGCATAATGACTTATTTGTAAAGGACTTGGCTCAATGCCTGGCACATAGCAATAGCTTCATGATGGTTAACTGCAGTCACCTAGCTGTCATCAAGATGGAGTGAACCAGGTGCTCCTGTGTTGGTGGCTTGGTCTCTCTTCTAGGCAATGTTTGTGAGAAGCAAATTTCTCCATTGGAAGGCCCCAGAAGCAGTGGACTGTGGGATTGGAGGAGGCTGGCTGGTCATCAGTCCTGCAGAGGCCTGTTCTCCACTCACCTTGGAGCATGTGCTCCAGCGATCAGGCAGCTCCAGTTTCTGCACTTCTCTGAGATTCTGGTTCCCTTTGCTTAATAAACACCATTAACTTTTGCCTCTCTGAGCCCATCCTTCTCCCCTTGACATGATCTTTAAATATGCTAATGCCATCGATTCTTTGTAATCAAGTCTTGCTCTTCCTGCCTTTTTAGGCTGGATAGAAGACCTTCTCTCTTCCTGAAGTGGCATCTGCAGCTTGTACATTTCCCCTGGTATGTTATTTCCCTGATTTACCCTCCATCTGCCCCCCAGATGGGGGTAGGGGGCTTCAGCCTCTTTCCGTGACTTACTTATTTATAGTTCTGGCCTTGACAGCTGCAGGGGGCTTAGAAGGAGCTCCTGTTAAACAGCCTTCTGTAAAAGGTTCCTTATCCCCTTTCATTTGCCTGGGAAAGGCTTCGTTTCACCTTCAAGAGCCTGGCTCCAATCTGCTCTGCCTACTGAAGATGCACGTGTCTACGCTGGCCCCCCTTCTTGCCCTGGAATGCCCTTCTCCCCTCTCTGCCCAGCCACTCTAGCCCCTGCAGCCTGACGGCTCAGGCTGGTCTCTGTGGGCAGCCTCTCCTCACTGCCCTCAGGACAGACTTCAGCTCCCTTTGAGTATTCTTTCCCAGACTGACCTTTCCCAAACTCTCCTCCAATTGATCTCTCTCCTGCCCTCTCCTCTTCCTGCCTAGACCCAGACCAGAATCACCTTTCATTCTTTTAACCTGCCATTTTGGAAGAAAGAGAGATACGAGGAATCCAAACAGCAATAAAAGCCAATCACATGCCCTTCTGAACAATAGGCAAGACAGATGTGAGAACAAATGATGAAGGGGTCCAGGGAGAGGGACCCTGTCGATGCTTCCCGCCTGAGGGGTTCCGCGGGCCCTGTGAAGATGGACAGTATGGAACAACAGCATTTCTCAGACCACGGGCAGTAACAACAGGTTCTTTATTTCTAAATTTCTCACCCCTTTCAGCTGATACAACTGCAAAATGCAGGCGGAATGAACTATTAGGAAATGAATTAAAAAATAAAGACAGAACAAAAGCCCAATTTTAAAAACCTGTAGATTCAGTGGGCCTAAAACTACTTTATCAGATTACTTTAAATTTTCTAAATGTTCCCTCTCAATTTCTGCACTTACTTCATCACAGATCGACAACAGAGTTTGCAGGCAAGTGCCAGTTTGCAGATCATGCCCACGGTAGCACTGCTCTGGATGTATGAAGCCAGGAAAATGATCCCATGAAGGGAGCAGCTTTTAAAATCCCATGATCCTTGGGGGATATGGTGTTAATTACTCCACTCATTCAATAAACGTTTAATGAGCAGCAACTATGTGCCAGTCACTGTTGGACACCAAGGCTAATAACGATTAATATACCAGGTTCCTAGCCCTCAAGATGTTCACTGCCTGGAATGGGAGAAAACCACTTTGATAAATAATTAAAAGCTAGCAAAATTAGGTCAACTGTGGGCATGGAGGCAGCAATATTAATTCTGCCTAGGGCTCCCAGGGAAGGGTCTATCAAGGAAGTGATGCTTGGGCTGGGGTCTAGAGGTGGAGAGGCAGGTACCTGTTCAATCCCAGAGGGCCCCCTGCACTCTGTTAAGTGATTTAAAATGTGTCAAGAGCTTAACCCAGAGCCTGGCACTGAGCAAGGGCTTCCAATGTGTTTGTTACTTTTATTATTAAATATGATAAATTATTATTGTTGTCATTATTATTACTCACCGAGATATGCCCAGCCCTGCCTTTAACTTTGGCATAGGGCTGTAGGGGTCAGTTGAGAGAAGGGGGTCATCTGGCTTTAATCCCACCCCCTTTGTCAGAGGAAAGACTTTTCTGGATGGATAGGATGGATAGGATGGGAGTTGGGTATTGAAGGAGATGGATGTGGACAGGTGAAGGTGAGAGAGAGAGTCTTTCAAGGTAGGAGGGTCTCTTAGAAATGCAGCCCGAGGGACAAGGACAGGAAAGGAGACTGGCCGATGGGACAACAGCTGGAGGTACAAGGACTGGTTGGGGCCAGGCATAGCTGCCAGGGAGCAGGATGTGGACCTTCCAGCCTTTGGAGAGGGGACTTGACCTTATTCGTTCTCTGGTTTTGGACAGATCGTATTGGTGGTTAGGATTTGTGTGGCAGCCTGTACTCCACAGCTCTTTCACAAATATTTTCCCATCTAATCCTTGTAACAACTTCATGACGGAGGTGTTAACAGCCTCGCTTTACAGATGGGGAAGCCGAGCTCAGAGGGCGACTGCTTGCCCAAGGTTACACCACTGGCCTGCACCCAGACAGGATCGCAGCCCCGTTCCGACTCCCACTCCCAATATTTTCCAGCATGCGGTGGAGAGGCGACCTGAGCCCAAACCTCAGGGAGCTGAGCTGTGACGCTGTGACCTAGAGGAGGCCCTGGCTCCAGACTGAGAGGCTCTGAGATGAATCTTGCCTTCTTTCTCTTCCCAGCAGGTAGGCAAAAGGGAGGAATGGAGGCAAGCCACGGAACAGCGGTTGACAATGATGGCAAGCAAAGGGAAGCCACTCAGCCACAGAGGTGACCTACCAGCCTTTCCTCCACCCCTCCCCAAGTCTGAGTTTGGATCACTCATGGGTGAGAGCACTAAGACCATGTTTTCACGTTTATTAGTGTGGCCAAGAGAGCCACTGAAGTTTGGTGGTGGTGGTGGTTGTTATTTAATTTTTAAGAAGTGCATTGAAGGGCTGGGGTTGTGGCTCAGCGGTAGAGCACCTGCCTAGCATGTGTGAGGCACTGCGTTTGAGTCTTAGCACCACAAAGAAATAAATTAATTAAATAAAGGTTCATCAACAACAACAACAACAAAAAAAAAAAACATTAAAAAAACGAAGTTCATTGAAGTAAGAAGCGTTGGGTGATAGAAAGGCACTTTGGGAACATTCTGGAAGGAAGAACAAATCAGAAAGTAAGAAAACACACCGGTTACCTTTATAGAGAAATAGCATTCCTCTAGCCTAGACCAGAGGATCTCAACCCAGGATACTTATGTCCCTTCATGAGGAGGGAAGGCTTGGCAATATCTAAGGATTTGGGGTTGCAACAGCTGGGGAAGTGCTGCTGTCATCTAGTAGGTCTTGTGATGCTGCTAAGCATCCTACCAAGTACAAGACAGCCTCCACCAAAAAGAATTATTTAGTTCAAGGCGGCCATAGGAAACCAGGCTGAGTCAGTAGTTTGGTACCATGGACAGCGGAAACTTGGCCTTGTGCTGAGGTCGTGATCCAAACCTAGACATCCTATTTTGCATGAAATTTGCAGTAAACCTAGGGCCCCTGGCTACATTTCCCGACCTCAATATTTCCAACCACTAGGACCCCAGGGGAGACAATGGGGGGGGGGGCGGCGTCCTGCTTGAGGCCACCAGCTGGTAGTTGGGAGAGCCAGGGTTTGAGACCTTCAGAGAACCTTTCCCACCCCTCCCCAGTTTATTGCCCAGCTCAGACCCCCCATCTCTTTTAGAGATATAGTTTGTCCCCTTTTCCCCTATTCACCAAATCCCATTTTAGAGCTAGGAGGCCCTCAGCAACCTACCATTCTATCAGATGAGGTGCTGCTCTTTCCAATTTACAGAGAGGTCCACTGAAGCCTTAAGGTTAAATACACAGTGTGCTTCTTTGCTCCTGGAGAGCAAAGGTGGCTGGGTTCATTCCCACAGCCCCAGCCTCTGGCAAAGTCGGGTCTCAGCGGATTCCAAATGCAACTCAATGCCTTCAGTCAATGGCCAGCTTTACCAGGGCGTGAGACCCAGGCTTGTCACGTTCCTCACAACTAAAACCCTCAGGGTCACTCCAGGTGAACTGGGCTGCACAAAACAACCACACAAGAAACAGAGATTCCTTTTCCTTTGGGGTCCTGTGATGGCTCCTTCTCTGACCTTAGGGGTCCGTGGAGAGAGAAAGAGAGCACGCCTGTGAGCTTGTGCTGAACCCTTTTATTGAGGAGAAGCCAATCAAATGAGGCAAGGGGTCAGGTTTCAGGGGGCTGAGTCTAGCTTGTGATGTCTGCTGTCAGCAGGTTGTCTGGCATCTAGGAAGGTCACACCCAAAGGCAGAGCAAGAGAAGGGGACATAAAAGGGCGTTTCCATGAACATTCTATCCCAAACAGGGCAAAGGGGTAATATCACAAAGGAACAGTGAGCATAGCTCAATCCATGGGGCGACATGCCTACGTCCGAAGACGCATCCTCAAACTTCCGGGACCAGGGCAATGTCCAGGTCACTATGTAATGCCAGATTCGTGGGACCCCTATAGATCTCCAGGAGCCAAATCCGATGCAATCACACAAGAATCTTTATTGCAAGCTCGAGCCTGGACTCACAACCATTTCTGACACAGCGGACCCAGGGAGTGAGTCCTGGTCCTTTGTTCAGTGAGATTTTATAGGTTTGGGGGGGGTACTCTATGCATCACAACATCACACAGCAAATCATTCCATACCATGGGAAAATCAAACAACTCTTAACATTGATTAGCACATTCACTGGTGGGAACAAGTTGGATAAGGGTGATTGCTTAGTACAAGAGGGGGATTCATTTGAACTGATTGATTTAAGCCTCCAGGGGTGTACATGCTAAACAACATGGTTTCCCAACATGTTATCAACCACCATAAACTATTGGAGGGTCATCTGGCATTCCAGGTATTTTCCCTGTCTCATGCTGATTGGGAGTTGTTAGGGGGTTGCTATGGGTCTTCACCTAGCCTGACTGAGTCAGGGACCCCTGGAGCCACAGATCTCTCTTGTTATTTGCAGACAAACATCTCAGCAGGGTGGGTATGTGACTAGGAGTGCTCTGTGGGTTTTTCCAAGGACAAGGGTCACGCCCCCTTCCTTGGACCGGCTTTGAGGTAGAAGCTGTTTTCAAAAATGGAGTCACATCAGTTTCTCAACTACAAGATGTAGTGATGGTCAAAGCCTCTCTGCTCCGGAATGGAGAATGTGAATCATTCAGAGCAGCCTCCCACACAGGCTCCTGCCCCTAGAAGCACCTTCACTAGGCATACATTTTTTTTTTTTTTAATCTTAGCACCACCTGGCAGGTGCTCCTGGTTTTGGGTTGATGTCACCTCAATCGTGGAGGGGGACACTCCCCACCCCAGCCCAGGCAGGCAGTTACATCTTCCTGGTGGGAAGTCATATGTGAGCCTCAGACCGACTTCTCCTCTCAGGCCTGAAGCAGAACCCTAGGCAGTTGGGGATCCCCCTCCAGCCTCCTCCACTGCCCCCCCAAGGGAAGGCCATGCAGAGAATCACCCCAGCCTTCACTGGCCACTTACAAGTCACAGAACAAGACAGAGAGAGACTGAAGAGACATAGCCACCAGCTGCAATACGTTACGTGGCCTTAAGGAGACCTTGATTTTTAACAAATTGAAATAAAAGCTCAAAATCTATAAATAGACAAGTGGAAATATAAACTCTAATTAGACATGGGATGATTTCAGGAATGGTTGTTAATTTTGAAAACGGTGATGATGGCACTGTGGTTATGTATTTTCAATGAGTGCTTATCTTTTAGAGACACCAATTGAAACATTTATAGGCGAAATGATGTGGCGTCCGGGATTCACACTGAGGAATCCGGGAAGGAGGAAGTGGGCGAGGATATCGATGAAACAAGATTCGTCATGAATTGTTAATTGTTGAATCTGGGTAATAAGCACATGGGGGTTTACGATAACATTTAGTCCATTTTATATGCATCTAATTTTTTTTTTCAGCATGAGGGGCTGGGGAGGCTGCTCAGTGGTAAAGCATGTGCATAGCACATGGGAGACCCTGGTTCGATCCCAGGTTCAGCCCCAGAACAAAACAAACAACAAAATTTAAAGCACATGAGAGCTATGTGGGACCCTTAGGCAGCACAGAGATTGGGTTTTCCAAACTATTTTCTATATTCGAAGATTCCAAAGAGAGACCCTAGGGACTAGGGACTAAAGTTGGAAGGGGAGGAGCTAGGGACTGGGGACACTGTGCTTCTCTTTCAACCAGTTTTTTGTATAGTGAAATTCTACAGGAGATATCTTGGGAAGGTTCTGCCCAGAGGATGGAGCAGTTTTCCTGTGACCAGGTGTGTCAGGGGCAGAGCTGGGCCTATCCTTAGCCTTCTTCAGGCATTGCTGCTGCCCACAGCTCCTGCAAGACTCAGGGCCTGGGGTCTGGGTTCAGTGAGCCATAGCTGGAATGGAGCTGGATGGTGCCGCCTGTCCAAAGGTGGCCGAGGCCATGCTGCCTCCCTTGGCCACTCATTGCCAGATTTCTAAAGCCAGGCCAGTGGCTCAGAGCCAGCCTTGGCTTTGAGGCCAGCCATCTGGCCAGGCCCCAGTAGCTGGACAGGAGCCAGCACCTCTCAGGCATTCCTGAGCCAGTGAAGTGCAGAGCAGGAATCAGCCCACCAGCCCTACAGCAGCAGCACATTTTAGAAGAAAGCTTTCTACTTGTCTTTCCTGAGCCTCTTCTGCATGAAAGGACTAGCCATGGAGTTAGGCCAAGGCAAGGATAAAGGCTGGGGCCACTGGGCCTGCTGAAGGCCAGCTGTGGGGGAGCACAGGGCCTGAGTCATGTGGGGAGGGAGGAAGGGAAGGGGGCTGCTAGCTGTGATGCTGAATTGGGAGGTTCGTTACTAGAAAGAGCTGGCAGGGCTCACGAGCAGCCAAAGGGAGAATGGGTGGCAGTCGGTGGTGAAGCAGGTCAGGTGGCTGTGCAGGGGACCTCCAACTTCACCCTTCCCGCGTGCTCTGGGCCCGAGGCTGACCACAGTGAACTTAGCCAATAAGCCTCCTTCCCTTCCTACTTCTGGCTCAATTCAACCAATAGGAAGTCTTGGCTGGAGGGAGGAGACTGAGGTGGGTATTTATGCCAGCAACTCTCCAAACTGGGGTGGGTCCTGATTGGCCCTGTGCCTTCTGGGGGGGGGGGGTCCTTGCTGCTCTCCTGGCAGCCTCTCCCCATTACCTCTTCCTCCACGTTCTTTTGGACCCAAGGATGCTAATATGTAATGCATGGCGTGGTCCCTTGAGGTCTCCTCACCCCCTGTACATACTTGCAAACAGTCTCTTTAATAAGCCCTTCTCCAGTATCTGGACACGAGTGGGCGTGAGCTGTCATTTCCTGCTGAGACCTTGGTGGAGGCAGGCTGCTCAGAGGTCAAGTTCTCCAACTATGTGTGTACAATGAGACTTTGCTTGTGTGTGACTCCAGCAAACTGGAAGGATGGGGAGTTCGGGAGTCCAGGGGCCTGACGGGACAGACAATGACAAGGAAGAAGAAGTCAGGATGACAGTCAACCTCAAACAAAGGAGCAGAGATCCCAGGGGAGGGAATCAGCTGGAGAAGTGGTCCCAATGACCCCAGAGGAGACTCGAGGGTCTCCCCGAAGCTCATTGGAGCCTACCTCTCCTTGCAGCCATCCCCATTTGTATTGATGGTGTCCCCAAACCTACCTTCCAGCCTGGCCCCATCACATCCTTGCTATGTGACCTTGATTCTCTGCGTCTGTTTCTTTGTCTGAAATGGTAGTGGCAGTGAGAGGTATCCTGTCCCTTTCAGACTTGGATAAATTCACGAATCCATGTATTTTGCCTTGTTAATAAAAGATGCAAGAGCAGCGAGCACGTTTCCCTCATTCATCTTTGCATTCCCTTCAGCACCTAGAGAGGTCCGCGGGATGGATGGCTGGGTGGCTGGGTGGGTGGATGATGAATCTCCCCGGAGTGATGAAGGCAATTCATTCCATGGCTCTAAGATGATAGAAATATCCCCTGGGAACCTGCCACTGCCTCTGCCCACTTCCTGGCTAATCCAGAATGTTCTCATTTGTAACTGGGTCTCCTGAGCAGACTATTCCCTGAAAGGCACATCCAGAATCACCAAGAGTAGTTTTGCTCGAAAGGACTGGAAGAGACCACCCACTACAGTTGCCGAGGTTGGGGGATGAACTTAGGGACCCAGGAGGAAGGAGTCCCTTTGTTCTCTTAGGCATTTTATAAGATCACTATTACTTTTATAACATAAAAGGCTTTTTCTTTCTTTCTTTTTTAGGAAAAAGAAAGTCATATACAACAGGCTGATAATTACAGTTGCTTTCAAGAGTCGAGGAGGTACCTGACTGAAGTAAGGGCAGGGAGGAGGGAGTAGATGTGCTGGTTGACTTATTTCCCCTGGTCCCTTGGGATTATCTACAATGTACATGCATCATCTATTTAAAAAATATAAATTTAAGAGATCCCTCGACTTGTAGACTTCTTATAAGCCAACAAAGCACTTTTCAGTGCAAGAGCTTACTCATGATCCCAGGTAAGTAGCCACTGTTACAAGAGGAAAACACAACAAAGCTAGTTTTGCAGATCTTAATTGGCTTCATTTGCAATTCTGGAATAAAGCAGCAGTCGTAACTAAATATGGTTCAGAATGTCCTGCTCTACCACATGGACAGATTATATTTATAGCCAGAGAAAGGGAAATGAGGTACAGAAAACGGAAGGGAGGATCAGTCAGCCCAACTGGTTGCAGCTCAAGTCTGTCTTATTTGAATATGGCTTGAACAGTCGGTCATTTACGATTGGCTGAGACTCGGCCACTTGTTACAAGAGTAGGTTACCATCTGTTTACCCATCAAGTTAGCTTACAATTCACTCTGCACAGAGAAACCTCTAGATCCAACTTAGAAAGTTAGTACAGTGTCTGTGTTAGGCTAAGCGAAACAGAATTACTATCCAGATTTTCAGATGAGGAAACTGAGACAGAAGATTAAAGGTTTGTCCGAAGTTTCTTGGTTGGGATGATGTGGCACTGAGACTCACACTGGATTTTGGTTCCAAAAGAAGGCTGCTGATGAGGCTTAGTTTGCCAAATATACTTCCATTTCAGAAAAACAAATTGGCATTTTGATGTATGACTCAGTCTCTGGAAGGTTTGTTTATTGTGAGTCAGATTCCCATTGGAGGCAGTTGAAACAGCAGGGTTCCTGAGGCTTCAAAACCCGAGGGTGAGAGGCAGGGATGAGGAGAGCCCAGCAAACGCAGACAGGAGAGGCTTCCCCGGCTGCCTGTCACATCCCAGCTCCTTACCTGCAGGCTGTCCCCCTGACTGCATTTTTGGAAATTTCACCTTAAACCTCACTCCTTCTAGGAAGCCTTTTGCCAGTGGTCCCCAGCCAGCTCCGAGGGCTTCTCTTTGGCCACTCAGACGCCCCGTGCAAAGCCAGCTTTCCCTGCCACCCCGGAAGGCCTGTTGCTTGTTCCCAACTACCCTGCAGCACCCTGTGCCCTGGTGGCAAATAGAACTCAGTACAGGTCTCGGGAGTGAGTTAGTCTATGGCTAGGCTCTGGATCCCCTGGGCCACCTCTCTCTTCTCCTTTTCTCCATCTTCTATCTATGCAGATCACACCCCCACACACCCCCACTGGGGTGCAGAGGGGTGACTGGTCCTCTCCACTCCCCACTCTACCTGCCCACTCCAAATCTCCCTCTACCCCAGGACCCTGTGTGGCAGAGCAGTTTCCCATTTGCTTTCCTGATGAGCATTGTCCCCTCCCGGGCAGCCTGGCCGCCCACCTCTCATTGCCACAGGCCCCGAGATGCAGCCGGGTGGTGGAGGGGCGGAGGAGACGGTGCAGGCCTCCTGGCTCCCCGGCCATCCCTGAGCAGCTCCACCTCTGAGATTAACTCGGCAGAGCTGGGTCGAAATTACTCATTTCTGCGTCTCCTCCGCGGCCTCGGTCTCCGCCTGGGTACAGGGCTGCGCCGCGCCTCCCTCCCGACCTTCCCGCCTCTGCTCGGGGAGAGGCTGCAGAAAGGCTGAGCTCCGTCCTCTCGGCAGCTCGTTCCGATTTTCAATGAGCTGCAGCCTCCACGCCCAGACACCTACCGCCGGGCCCAGGTCCCTTCCCCCAGAGCCTCTCCCGCCCGTCGTCGCGTCGGTCCCCCAGCCGCCCCTCCCCCTCGTCGCGGCTCCGCTGTCAATCTCAGAATTCCTCGGCCCCGGGCTGCCCAGCCCCGCAGAGGAGCGACTGCTGACCTCGGCTCCAGGCCGCGGCGGTTGAATTTATTAATCGCTCATTCTGCCAGCGTCCTCATTGACTTCCAAAATGTTCTCATCGTTATTCAGTCTGTCCAATGGAGCCATTATTGGGCACCTACTGCAGGCCAGGGGCTGGATGGAGGTGGGGAGGGGATGAAGTCCTTTCACTTGGAGAAATGCAACCTGGCAGAGAGCAGCCACAAGTCAAGGGCCCATGGAGAGAGACACAGGTCACCGTGGAGCTGGAGCCTGGCCTGAGCCCTGGCTGTGCAACTTTGGGCCAGTCTCTGACTCTTTCTGGACTTGGATGGTCCTGATTGTAAATAAGGGTTTGAACTATAGGCCAGTCTTTTTCACTGCTGTTTGCAACCCATCACAGGGTGGAGTGAGTCAGAATCAGTTTTAAGAAAAAAAAAAAAAAAATCAGAAGCCACCATATCAGACATCGCACATTAGAGGTATCACCTAAAGAAATTTCTTGCAATTGTGGGTGTCTGTGCCCGTGTGTGTGTCCATGTGTGTTTGCATATAGGTTCACATGTGTCTCCTCGTGGTGGAGTGTGTGTGTGAGTGCGAGTGTGTGCTGGGTCACAACACACAGTGGATTTCTTATGAGTCACAGTCAAACATCACACAAGGGACTGGGGTTGTGGCTCAGCAGTAGAGCACTCACCTAGCATGTGCGAGGAGCTGGGTTCCCTTCTCAGCATCACAAATAAATAAACAAACAAACAAACGAATGAATAAAGGTATTGTGTCCAACTACAACTAAAAACTATTTATATATTTTCTTAAATTACACAATTCCATATGCTTTTAGAAGAAGGATCTTAGGGGCTCTTCTCATCCACGGGTCCGGGAAGGCCTCATGACAGAGAGGGTGGCATTTGTACTTGCAATCATGTACAGATTTCCACCCACAGAGAACTGTGGTGGGGGACTAGAAAAGCACTCCATTGTGAGCAAAAGCCCAGGTGGAGTCGCCGTGGGAAGCAAGGCCCAGGGCGGGGTTGTGCTGGGACTGTGTGAGGAGGAGGAGAAAATGCTGTGGGCCCTGGGCAGAGAATGACTGGGGTTCTCAGGCTGGAAAGGTGGACGGGGGCCACAACTTGTGGAGGCCCTTGGCTTCCACCTGGGGGCTCTCCATAGGGATGGTGGGGATCTGAGAAGTCCAACATCCTCACAGCCCCAGGAGGGACTCAGACTCTATGCTCTTCCCTCCAGCAGAAAATAAATTTTTAGACTCACTTACACTAAAGTGTGACTGGCTGGTAAGACCGTGAACAACCTGTTTTATAGGAATGATTGCTGTCGTGCTGTTGTGCTGTTGACAGATTGTTTAAAAGTAGAGGAGTTTGGGAAATTTTAGAGCAGGTCCAGACTTTAATAAAACAGTTTAAAATTTTTTTTATTTTAGTTTAGTTTTTGTGGTGCCGGGGATCCAACCCAGAACCTTGCACAGGCCAAGCTAGTGCTCTACCACTGAGCTACATCCATAGCCCAATTCCATATGCTGTTAGAAGAAGGATCTTGAGGGACTTTTCTCATCCATGGGACAGGGAAGGCCTCATTACAGAGAGAGTGTAATGAGGACCCAAGCAGGACCAGACTTTTTTTTTTTTTTTTTTTTTAATCCTGATTGAACTCAGAGGCACTTTATCACTGAGCTACCTTCTCAATCTAACCCATTATTTTGAGATAGGGTCTTACTAAATTGCTGAAGCTGGCCTTGAACTGGAGATACTCCTGCCTCAGCCTCCTTTGTCACAGGGATTACAGGCATGTGCCACCACATCCATCCAGGACCAGATTTCAAAGTCAAAATTAAAGTGATTTTTTCCCCCAGGGAGAAAATTAGTACACACCATCTGAAGAAGGACCCCCAGTGCTGTCTGGTGGTCTGGGAGGGGTTTGCACACCGTGTGAGGCCACTGAAGACGGAACACTTGCAACTGTGAGGGCCCACAGTGCCTGGGAACCCAAGCCACGAACAGATCAACTCCTTCCATCCCTCCCTATGCAGATGAGGACACCAAAACCCAGAGAGAGGCGGCAGGCCCACCGTGACACCCACCGTGGGCAGAACCCACCTCCTGGACCCTCACGTGCTGCCCTGGGTGGAGCGCGCTCAGGTGGGGAAGAGGTGGTATTTGGGGAGATCAACCGGGGAGGCCTCTGTGCTCCAGGTGCACCAGCTCAGCTGGCTCCTCTCACCTGCAGAAGGCAGCTCCAGCCTCACCCTGTGGCCTTGTGGGGCAGTTCCTGACCCTGAAGTCTGGGTTCACCAGGCGAGACCTGGTCCCCGAGGTCATTCCCTCCAGGGACCCAGGAGACCCGGGAGAGACCTGACACCTGGGAGGGAAAGAGGAATCCACACTCTGCCGACTATTTTTAGTCTTGAGAATTAGTTACCAAGAACATTAAGCTAATTCCCTGCTGTTTATCAGGCAAGTGACAGTGACAGTTTGCAGGGTCTAATTGTGGAGATTTATTGTAGAACACAGCTCAGCAGCCGCGGTGGTGCCTGGGGCTCCAGGGCCTGGTCTTTGGAATCTGAGCTACTTCCTGACTCCTTGGGTGGAGGGGAAG